CCCAGGTTGACGAGTGTGTTGAGAAGTAAAAAGCACACTCGGCAAAATGCAGGCTGTTCAGCAGGCCGCGACTCAGGTGAGTGAAGCACTGTTTATAGAATGATAGTAAATGATGAAGATTAGAGAATGAATATATGATTTCTTTTGTCATTTTTCCTTGTGAAATAGCCATATCAAAGACCAAGTAATGGCACTTAAAAATCTACAGGGGGCACACATCATCCAGACAGCAGGTGGGCAGCTTATGCTCCAGACAGTTGGAGGGTCTGGTTCAATACAGGTTGCATCTGCTAATGGTCAACAGCTACAACAGATACAAGTTATACCTGCCTCAGGTCTTCAGGTATTAGTCTTTATTATTTTTTTTATTTATTTATTTATTTTTTATACTGTAATGAAATTTGTGTGTTTTTATGCCTGTAATGTATAGTGTAATTAAAAATTTTCTATATCAGATTATCAAATTGATTGAATTTAATGGAGTATTTGCCCTGTCAGCAGAGTGGAAATCATGTCATGGTGCAAGGAGGAGGGTCAACCCAGCAAGCACAGATCATCCAGACTTCAGATGGCCAGGCACTGGTGTACCCCATTCAATTGGACAGTCAAGGCAACATTATCCAACAGCAACCAACAGGTAAGTGTCGGGCATGAGTGGATAAGCTTCATTTGCCCATGATTGTGTGACCAAAGAAAGATTGGGAATGGATGAAGTGTCTGAATGATTGCATCATGCATGGTGTCCTTTAATAGCTCAAGCTTTATTTTATTTTTTTATTAGATTTTTTGGTTGAAATGGAAATAATCATTGACTTTTAGAACTTGGATTACTATTGTTGCTAAAAGATGAATGAAGATGCCTTTGGATGTTATGATGGGGAAAGAAGACCAATCATGTTTGGAAAAAAAAGGGTTGTGAAAGTAAATTTGCCAGGGATAATTAGTTACTGTGTTCTAGGTTATTTATAGTCTTCAAGGGAAATGTGGAAATGTCTTAATTTTTAAAGATTCACTTGGTTTTCCAAATACCATTTAATCACAGATATATCATGTTTTGCATGCACCAGTGCATAAAAATTATGAATTATGGAAAAGACTTGTCTATTAGACTTAAAACATGGTGTTGCTAAGATTACCATTCTCCTCTCAGACAACAATTAGGACTTCATAAAGCTGCTTGAGCATGTGAAGTATAAGGTCTTGAAGAAATCTGGCTCTGATATTATAGACACATACAAAAGTTTCATTAGCATTGCCTGTTTATTGTTAAGTTCATATCTGTTCTATCTAATTTAGAGGAGTTTTATTATTATTATTAATGCTGGTTATTATATATATTAAGTATGTATTTAATGTTCATTATATTATTATTGTTTTGATTATTAATATTGATATTAATATTATTTATATTATAATAATTTATCTTTGTTGTCGTCATCATCATCACTCTCAATGTCTGTGTTGGGGTCATTATGCAATCATTGTCATTATTTTTGCTGTTATTATAGTTGCACATGATGATGATAATGATAATGATAATAAAAATAAATAGTAATAATAATAATAGTAGTTTAATAGTAAAAGTGATAGTGATAGATAGTGATAATGATGTTGTTTATGATAGAAACAAGGATAATAAGGAATGATAATGATTTGAAGAATTAATAAGTCAAATAGAGTAATGAAAATAGATTATAGATTATAGATCATTTTTGTGTGACAAGTATATTTGGCAAACATACTGCCATATCCCTATAACAAGATGGGAAAAATCTTTGAGATACAGGTTTGGAGTATAAGAAAGCATATATCTAAACCTCTTAATGAGAGAAAGATAAAGGAAATGCAAGTAGGAATGAAGATTGGAGCAGATGTGACTGAATGTTGTATGGTTGTGCAAATAATTCTTTGAATACTACACCTGTATATATATTGATATATGGTATATTAATTTTCCTAAGATTCACACATGTTTTGTCTGCATACTGGACTTCAGAAGAAATTGGTAGACTATCTTTGATTTGAGTAGTAGAAAAGAGGTTTTAGCCCTTTCCATTTATTATAGATATTTTTTTCAGATGGTAAGTTTATACAAGAAAGAGATGTATCACAAAATAAGAAGAAGATGAAAGGAAAAAAACAAACAAAAAAACAAAAAAACTTTTTCCTTCTTGATATTCTGATGGAGTCTTGTACATGATGCACCATGTGCGAATCAAAAAAATCTGGTTTGTAGAAATGAATCTTTGTGTATTGATTTTTCCTCGGAAATCATACACTAATTATGTATTTCGTTTGTTAAGCACTGAATATTTCAGGCAACCTAATCCAGCTAGCGCAAGCATCCACTTCGCAAGCATCTCAGACAGGATCAGTACAACAGAGCCCACAGACAACCCAACAGACTGCACAAACAGCTCAGACCAACCTTGCAAATGTTGTTATGGTAAGTTAGGAATCTTTGGTTGGCCTATATTTTCTACACTGGGTGGGGGGGGAGGCCATTTTACAAATGGTGTGCACGGTAAGGCTAAAAGAAAGTTGAAACTGTGTGAGCAGAATTATATTAATTTTTTTTTTTTCCTCTCTCTCTCTCTCCATCTCTCTCTCTCTCATTCCCTCTCTTTCCCTCTCTCCATATCTCTCTCTCTCTTTCACTCTCTCCATATCTCTCTCTCTCTTTCCCTCTCTCTTTCCCTCTCTCCATATCTCTCTCTCTCTTTCCCTCTCTCCATATCTCTCTCTCTCTTTCCCTCTCTCCATATCTCTCTCTCTCTCTCTTTCCCTCTCTCCATATCTCTCTCTCTCTCTTTCCCTCTCTCCATATCTCTCTCTCTCTTTCCCTCTCTCCATATCTCTCTCTCTCTTTCCCTCTCTCCATATCTCTCTCTCTCTTTCCCTCTCTCCATATCTCTCTCTCTCTTTCCCTCTCTCCATATCTCTCTCTCTCTTTCCCTCTCTCCATATCTCTCTCTCTCTTTCCCTCTCTCCATATCTCTCTCTCTCTTTCCCTCTCTCCATATCTCTCTCTCTCTCTCCCTCTCTCCATATCTCTCTCTCTCTCTCTCTCTCTCTCTCTCTCTCTCTCTCTCTCTCTCTCTCTCTCTCTCTCTCTCTCTCTCTCTCTCTCTCTCTCTCTCTCTCTCTCTCTCTCTCTGTAATAAAGTGTGAAGTGTTGACACTAAATGTAATATATAGTAGGAAGGTTATCCCACTAGTTTGTCACCATTGTAACGAGGCAGGGAGTTATCCCACCTGATGGCACCCATGTAATATTACAATGTAATATTGTTGTGAGTTTGTTTTCTTCTTTGTATGACACTGCTGCTTTGGTTCTCGATGTGTTGAATTAAAGTAGTTGCAGATTTATATTTTACTGCGGGAGTTTGGTAGCTGGACTACAGAGGACAGGCAATGAAAAACATGAAAATATTTGAATGAAGACAGATTCAGGTACTTATGGTCACATGATTGTTTCATGGTGAAGGAGCAAGGGTACCTTATATACTATTATATGTGAGAAGAGAGTTGCTGAGTATTCATAAAACATAAAGACATTTGAATAATAATAGCGATAACATACTTAGTGATTCAGAATAAGTTTTTTTTAATGAACATTTTGAGTATAAACAAAACATTATCATGCACAGAGACATCAGAAAAACAGCATGGGAATTGTTTATGAGTAATAAGGGTTAGTTTAGCGTGTTCTAAGGTTTCTTCGTCATTGTCACGGCTGTAGACAAGTTGGAGTCGGTGGAGGACAGTGGCATTACTTTCATAGGAGACCTTTGGTGAGGGAGAGGTGTGAGTTAATTAAATCGCTCAGCCACCTAACCAGCATCGTCCTCGATCCAGCTGTGGTGGGTGATTCTGAAGATGAAGTGTCATCAGCGGTGATGCAGGGAGCTTCGGTCCTTGCAGGCGAGAAGATGGGAGGTTACACAGGTAACTTCTAAGGTCAACGGCCTAGGGAGCTTGTTTGCGCAGGTGGTTGTTCCGAAGCGCGGGTTGTCGTGACGAGAGCAGCAGTGATGATTGGTCACCATTACTGCCATAGGATTGCTTGAAGACACGAGTGCCATGTCAATCGTAAATGACACCCACACTGGTCTAGAAGATTCTGGACCAAGTTGTTGGTGATGAGAAGAAGGACTTAGCAGAGAATGAGAGGAATAATTGTCTTTGAAGATCATGTTGTTGGCGGGAAGGATTCATCATCTCAGGAGAGGAGGAGCACCATGGTGATGGCATCATGAGGTTCGGCAGGCAAAGCAGGAGTAATCTTGCCAGGATCTCCAGCACAGGGCAGCAGGTGTGGTGAGGGAAGCGAGTGAGACGAAATGTGGAGAGGATGTCAGGCAAGTGAGACAAGAGGTGGCTGGGATGTCAGCAGAATGACACAACTGGAGGTGCAGTAACGTACAGTACAGGACAGAAGTGCATCAGCAGGTGATGTGGCAGTGAGGACATACATGAGATGGGCTCGTTAACGGGGTGAGTGAGACTTGGCGCACCAGGGTTTGGTGGCGAGGGCAGCGACATGGTGATCTGAGAGTCTAGGTCGGCAGTGGGCTTCAGCACGGGCCCTCTGGATCTGAAAACAACAAACAATAACAATGGTACCATGTCTTGGCGACAGAAAACATAATGCCATATCTCAGGGAGTTGAAATATCAACATGAATTCATAATGATGAGGAAATGACTGAAAGCAACAAGGCATGGATTCAGAATAGTGTTAATTGCATTACAGTAATGAACAATCAAGATTGTAGGATATCTTGAAAAGCTTTCAAAGTGATGCAAATTGTGGGAATGATTCTCCATGAAAACAATATGTAGAATTCATGTGCAAGCGCACAGGACCGCACATGTTCCAATGAAAATGTAGGTAAATTAACCACAGAATATATTTCCTTCAGGGAAATGAGGGTAATTCCTTGCGAAAATGCAGGATTGATATTCCTGTGAAATAGTTCATAATGGTGAACTGTAATT